TATTCCACGCGTTTGAACGTTGTTACGTACGCGACGAAAATTCTTTTGTCACGTTCGCAGTTGTTCAAATTCCGCTGTCAAACGCGGACAACAGTCCGGGAATCGACAGGAAGGCGAACATCCAGGTGACTTATTTTATTCAGATTTATTATACAAAATGTATCAGACGTTTTATTAATAAGAATATATTTTAATTAAATTAATTCTTATTGCCGTCTCTTTTTCGCTTTCATCTGTACTCTACGACTCTTGCCTACTCTCTGCTTAGCTTTCCCTCCCTTCTTCAAATTCTTCCCCGATCTAGAAGTCCTCCCACCCTTGAAATCACTCCCTGGTCTCGAATTCCTCCCGCCCTTGAAATCACTCCCTGGCTTCGAACCTCTTCCTCCCTTCTTCAAATCCTTCCCTGGCCTCTGGTACTCCGAAACATCCGCCGAACTCGTTCTCGTATTCATCTTACTCCCACGCTTCTTCCCACCGAAACCATATTTAGTATCCCTCATTTTACGCTTTTCTATCGCCTTTTTATTACTCTGTGGCTTTTTCTTATCGTCGAGGAAATCTAAATCCTTCCTCACGCCTTTTCTATACTTTTTCACTTCTTCTAACATTTTCCTCTTCTCTGCGTGCTTCTTCAAAGTGGCTTCTATCTGCATTTGCTTGCCTACTTTCCTCTGCTGTCTCAACTGCCTGACCTTCTCCGATCTCTGAACAATCATTTGCTTCCTCAATAAGTTCTCCCTGACTTTGTGCATGTGGGCGTCGGACTTTGCCATCTCAGCGAAATAATCGTCAGGCCTTGTCGTCGGTATTCCGAGCTTCTTTAATCTAGCGATGCCGTCCATAACGGCACCCTGTGCTTGTCTGTGGAACATTGTTTCTCTCCGGAAGTCGTTTAAAACCGGGTCCTCCGTTGGATCGTACTGCGGCAATTTTTTATTCCCCTTCAACTGCTTTGCTCTTCTCACTTCCTGATCTTGCATTTGCAACGCTAACTCTGGCGCTAACGGTGCTGGCGCGTTGACCATGTCTAGCCTTTCCACCCATGGTAAATTCAGTTTAATCGTCTCCAGTTTTTGTTTCATAAGATTCTGAAAGGAATTTCCTAATTGTATTCTCATTGCCCTGAGATCTTATTTAATCTACAATTCTTACATCCCATGAATGTCTTATATTAAGGTTTTATACTTTAAGCTGAGAAATCTGTGATTTGTCAGAGATAAGATTATCTTAATCCATTTTTAGAAGACGTTTCTAATTTTTTGTGTTTCTAATAGCTTCCACTTACAAAAATCTTCAATATTTTACAATATTTATCTTTACTTTTACTGTAATTTCAATTAAAGATAATCTGTAATATTATTGATAAGATTATTTCAAATCAATCCTCAAAGCTATTCTTCATCTTGTAATAGTTTTAAATTATAAAAATCTCTGACATTTCACAATAATAATCTGTCTATACTTTCAATTCAAGAAATCTACCATCCTGAATGGCGTTACGGGAAAACCCAGAAATCCATAAATGTTAACAAAATTCCCATCCTATCCTACTTACCACGCAATTTTTGTGAGTTTTCTTGTTTTCCTCGACTACGACGTTGAGACCTGGTTTCAGTAAACCCTTCGCGTAAGCTTCTCGTAGCTATGCAGAGGAGAGAACAAAGGTTAGAATCGAATTACATCAACTATCTCGATATACAAGTGATACTGACCTCTTCGTCCGATGAATTATACTCCGAATCAGAGTCCGAGGATTCCGGCGTTCGGACAGCCTTTTTCACAGCCTTCTTCACTTTCATTTTAATATTTTTTATTGAACTCACAGGTCACACGCGGTACTCTGTTTTACTACACGCGGCTTTGTAGTAAACAGAGGAGAACCTGCGCCATCTTTCAGGGACGCAAAAGGACATATCATTCGCTCGCATGCTAATAATATTTTCCTCTTCTCTGCGTGCTTCTTCAAAGTGGCTTCTATCTGCATTTGCTTGCCTACTTTCCTCTGCTGTCTCAACTGCCTGACCTTCTCCGATCTCTGAACAATCATTTGCTTCCTCAATAAGTTCTCCCTGACTTTGTGCATGTGGGCGTCGGACTTTGCCATCTCAGCGAAATAATCGTCAGGCCTTGTCGTCGGTATTCCGAGCTTCTTTAATCTAGCGATGCCGTCCATAACGGCACCCTGTGCTTGTCTGTGGAACATTGTTTCTCTCCGGAAGTCGTTTAAAACCGGGTCCTCCGTTGGATCGTACTGCGGCAATTTTTTATTCCCCTTCAACTGCTTTGCTCTTCTCACTTCCTGATCTTGCATTTGCAACGCTAACTCTGGCGCTAACGGTGCTGGCGCGTTGACCATGTCTAGCCTTTCCACCCATGGTAAATTCAGTTTAATCGTCTCCAGTTTTTGTTTCATAAGATTCTGAAAGGAATTTCCTAATTGTATTCTCATTGCCCTGAGATCTTATTTAATCTACAATTCTTACATCCCACGAATGTCTTATGTTAAGGTTTTATACTTTAAGCTGAGAAATCTGTGATTTGTCAGAGATAAGATTATCTTGCTAATAATTTCTAAATAATAATGAAACTTCAGTCTACTGTTTCATTAAATAATTATTATATTAATCAACCTTTTTTATAATATTTTTCAATTAAAATTTTTAAAAATTATCATCCACTTCAAATTTCGATAATTAATGTTAAATAATTCGCTACCTTTTAACGCTATCAATATTAATGAATAAATTCAGATAAGCTCGTCGGAATTGTTCCAAAAACACGTTATCTTATCAGTAATTTCGCGAACAAACTGGAAGGTAGAGGTGAACCAATCAGAATCATAAAATTCAGCTAGTAGGAAGGAGAATCTCTCGATGCTTGTCGCTCTGGCCGAGCTCGTGTTCTATGTCGGGATTTTTTGTTACAGCTGGGTAACGACAGCGAAACATCATGACGGATGGTGATAAGAAACCGATGTCACGTTTATTGAAGCTCGCCAACAAATTCAACTGCTTCTACCTGTCCGGTAAGCGAAATCGTTCACCGTCGCGTCGTCCGAGCTCCGTCCGACCCCTGGCAATTGGTTCACGGGACGATTGCCCCGCGGAAACGCGTTGCTTTGCTCTAGCTGTCTAACTGAGATATTGATTTCGAGTCTGTTGTGCATTCCGTCGCGTATTTTCACCGAGCCGACCAAAAACCAGAAGAATTTCCACCTGTCCGATGGAATTTCGCGAGATCTTTTAATTAAGACACGTAATTTTAATAATGCTCTTAGTTTTTTTGATAAAAATTTATATTTCTAGTTTCGGACGTCACTATATGTATATTTACTAAACTTATTTACTAATAGCATGGCTGTCAAAACGATTTCTGTCACGAACGCTTCCGACGGGACGATATCATTTATTTTATTAATCTAAATATAATCTGAGAATTTTTATAATTAGTTTTCTATTCCTGGAAATAAAATTATTTTAAGATTCCTTATTCTCCTATTTTTAATATTGTATATCTATTTATTTCTCTTGTACTTTGTTTATGTCGTTGAATAAAATTTGTTTGTTTATTGTTTAATTTCTCTTCTTTCGTGTCCTGATTTAATTCGGTCTCGAATGAAATTGATCAGTTTGTACAGATTCTGTAGTTTCCATGTAAACAATGTAATATTGTTAAATAAAGGGAATCCCTCAGGTTTTCATACAGGTGAATGCAGAGCGTTTGTTGTTGACGGACAACAAATTGGCCTCGTGCGTCCAGATGTGATCAAAGAATTATTAAACTACCCACAAGTAAGAAATACAGTCATTTAAACAATTGCCTAATCTGTCGAATGGTATATAATGAAATTTTGTTCGAAGGTCTTTCAGGTGCACCCTGAGTACGTGCAACTGAATCCCGCGTTCAGAGACTATGCGGAGAGAAGCGCGAGAGTCGAGGAAGTACTTAGAGAATGGAAGGCCGGGGAGAAGTTCATTACGTTAAGGGGATGGAGAGAAGAATGTTACGAGGTCCGCGCACAATTTAACACACCGCCACTCTTCAAAATGGATCGATCAGCCACATGTAAGCGAAATCGTGGCTTCAAGAACCACCGACGAATCCGTATTTTATATAAAATGCATATATGCAAATATGAAAAACTGTTTCAGGCTTGTTTGGAATTCGCAAGTACGGAGTAGACATAAACGGATACGTGATGGACCCCGTGAAAGGTTTCTCAATATGGTTACAAAAACGGAGCCCGACTAAACAGACCTGGCCCGGTTATTGGGACAACATGGTGAGCGGCGGTCTGAGTGTCGGCTTTGGTATCAATGAGACTGCGATTAAAGAGGCCGGCGAGGAGGCCAGTATCCCTAATAATTTGATTGCGAAACTGAAGAGCGCCGGCTGCGTCTCGCTGTTCTTCGAAAGTGAAAGGGGCCTCTTTCCCAACACGGAGTTCGTTTACGACCTTGAACTACCGCCGGATTTCGTGCCGAGCAACAACGACGGCGAAGTGGAGACGTTCGAGCTGCTCCCGGTCAACGAATGCCTCGAGAGGATACTCTCGTCGCATTTCAAGACCACCTCGGTGCCGGTGGTTCTCGACTTTCTAATCAGACACGGACACATCACAGCGGAGAACGGTAATTATTTTATCTATTTAACCCTTTCGCTACGGGCGGGTTCTCCGCTGCGGTACTCCCGCCCGTAGTAGCGAAAGGGTTAATTTATTAAATTTTTTGGAGAAATGGGATCATGTATATAACTTACATGTTTTGCTTTTAAATACACACATATTTAAATGTTAGTTCACAATAATAACACATTAGACACTCGATCGGAGTTTCAGATTCTCACATCATCATCATCACAATTCTCGCACGTGTTCTTCCAGACAGCATTATCAATAAAAACACTATCACTCACAAACTTCTTCTGCTTGTTGCAGAGCCTAATTTTATAGAAGTGATGGAATTGCTGCACGTGCCACTGCAGACGATGTACAATCAGCCACAAAAGAAGTGTAAATTAGCCGCGAACGGTGAAGCAATCGAGCCGTTAGAAAGAATTTAAGTTTCCCGACCTAGTCTTATTAATTTAATTAATCGCGTTCAAGATAAATTTCATTCTCGAATCGAATTCCCTTAATTTTATATATTCCTTAGCTGGTTTATCTCTTGTATTGGATTTTAGCGAAATGGTGCAGAGTTTTATATCTGTAAGGTTTGCATATTTGTAAGTTATTGAATAAGAGTTCGAACTTTTTAAACAGCCGATTCGAAGGAGGCTTTTTTTATGAAATTCGAACCGATTCTCGTTTCCGCAGGACGTCGACGGATAGGGGGTGGGGGGAGAGAGAGGGTGATAGAGATTGATACGTAATTCGTTTTGTTACGACTCGAGTAGTTTTTTATATGATAACGATGAAAGTAACCGACGAAATACGATTTTTGATGACTCTTATAGCGAGGAATAAACGTAGTCGTAATTAACTTATATACACCGAGAATTTCATAAAAAAAAAAAGAGAGAGAGAGAGAGAGAGAGATGAGGGAGAAGGTATTTTAATTTGCGGGCTTGTCGATATTCAATAAATTGAACGAATTGGCACAACACGTACTGATAATTACAATTTCGATACGTAAAATCTCAAATCACGTTGTATCTTCCTATTAATTTTTACCGATCATCGAACTGAATTTTTGCACAACAGACGTTGAGCCGATTAAACAAACTGAGAACTTTTGATATACATCGATGTCGCGAGTTCTACAAGTATTATTATCGATTAACAACATTCCAGATTATAGAATCTAAGGCTTCAGTTTCGTAGCCGAGACGGGAGAACGAACATAGTCTTTTCTAACGTTTGTAATCGAATTTTTGTACCGAAGAAAAGGACTTACACCTACCGACGAACAAGCGTGCAATGATCCTGAGTATTACTAACAGGATTTACCGAATCAAGAGACACAGGCATTCACAGTATTAAAAAGTGAATGGCGCATACAGACACGACAGTATACTGTTTGGTATGTTTAAAGGATAAAAAAAAACAAAAAAAAAACAAGTGTTTATAGACAAATTAACGTCGATGTGTTCTTATACTCCAGTTAAAGCTACCAACGAGAAATGCTTAGAAGGACCTAGCGTTTTCGAAGTCGAACAACTTTTCTCAGACGAGCGTGAGACAAAAAAAGTGTTCGTACATATTGTTTACCTTGTATAACTGTAGGTAGATTTTTTAATTGAAGATAACGAATTGGTAACCGAGGTGTTCAATCGCTAGGATCAACAGGCAAACGCAACAGCATATTAAAAAAAACAAAGCATCGTTTACCAAAATTATCTTCAATACAATTTTAAGCTGATCATTGGCAGATTTTATTTCTCGAAACGGTGCTTTCTACTTATTCGATTGCGTGTGCCTTTGAATTGAGGAATGCTTTTTGCAGTAATCGTTTCTTAGAGAGCGGAGAATCGTTTTAAGCGTTGCGAGTATTACAATCATTAGCAACGCGTTTATCGACGAACATTGTGAATGTTTTTACAAGATTTTTCATGTTTCTAGATCAAGACTAGAGGATCATCGTATTATTTTATTAGCTAGGTGCATATGAAATGGCAGATGTAATTCTCAGAATATCTGATCAATTNTAAACGTTTAAATGATCGTAGTTATGTTTGAAGACTTTCTAATTAAGTTTAATTTGATTTTTGATCTGGAAATTGAAATTTAAAAACGTTTCACGTGCACCAAGCTAATGTTTGCTTCCCTTATTTGCTTTGATTTCGGCCTCACTAGTGGATCATTAGTGAGCACCCAGATCATCGTCGATCTAACTAACCCAGAAGCGTTTAAACATTTTTTAGAATTATTGTATTGTATCTAATCAACGCCTTATCATCTCTTAACACTTTAACACCTCGATCTAGTCATGAAATCATTTTATCTGTTATATATTGTTCGCTTCCCAAGTGATACTAACATTTTTGTGATAGAAATGGGTATTATATAATATTTTATGTAGTATTATATAATATCGACGTTCAATAAATTAATATTCATTAATAACCGTTAATACATTTACACGCCACGTTGTCGTTTCTATCGAGCAATTTCATTTTTTAATCATAATCTAAGGCAACAGGATCTTTCAGTCACGTTTCGTTTGTAAGCCTTGTACTTAATTCTCATAACCGTTTACACGTACGAACCCTCTGTTATAGAATAATAATCATGTAGCGATCATTAAAATGAAAAACAAATGAAGAATCGTTGCAGTAATTCAATAAATAATGTTCAAATGCCTTCTATTTTATTATTCCATCCAATGCATCCATGCGATAATAATAAAACTGCTTAAATAAAATTGCATTAAATCATGAAGTTCACATTGCATTATTCATATGATGAATGAAATGTCTATCTAAAAATTCATCTTTTTCATTGACACTATAAATGTTTTGTACAAAAGTCGTATGAGGAAGATAGTGACTATAATAAGAATTGCATATAACTGGTAATAGAATTTGAAATGTGTGGTTGTATCAATTTCCGGAATCAGTACCTTTGGGTAATGAGTTCCCGAGCGAAATGGAATTAATAAATGAGCTCAGGGGCAGGTGGGTGGTTGGGACGATGAAGGAAAAAGTGGAAAACAAAAAATCGTGCCGGAGGCCTGGTGGGGAGGCCCGACTTTGTCAGAAGAAACAAAAATCGATTAAATCACTTCCCTTTTGAACATCAACGGGGAAACACCGACGAAAACCCGCGCACGGTCTACCGTTAGTTTTGTCATTTCCGGAAGTGATTTTTCTCAGTGATATAAACTAGTAGACGATCTAGTGAGTGAACGATATCGTTTGTAGGTATCGTTGGACCATTACGTTTTCGATTATTTTCGACAATTTTTTTTATGGGTTCACGAATTTTTCTAACGAGATTGCGTAATATTACGAAATTCGTCATTTTCGTTTTTAGTTATTATCTGTGCTTGGCAAATGTTAGATTTGCGATATAAAATCGAAATTTGTATACAATTTTAATGAATATCCAGCTTTCGTTTCAATCATTATTTTGTCATTT